TTAGTCACTTGGCCGTCGATTTTTTTTTGTTTGTGTAGAAGCAGATTTGGGAGTTCGTTGAAATAGGATTTGGGGGTTTCTCTGAAGTTGAGATTGGAACAGTCTGTATGGCGGCTGGAAGGAATCTAAGATACCTTGACAATGAACTGCGAGACCATGAATCGAATTCTAGATTTTCCAGGAGGGAAAGTGCTTACTCGAACGAGAATTATGACCATGCGAGGAACGGTGCTCTCGATAATGAAAAGGTTAGTAATCTAAGACACGGGGATAGTGGTAAAGATAGAGATAGGATTAGGTCCGGAGCTAGACGGAGAGAAATGGTTAACGGTGGGTATAGGTCATTGCAGAGCAATCCAGGGAGTAGGGAAGCCTTTCTTGATCGTGGTCCTAAAAGATGCGGGTTTTCAGCTAGGTCTGTGGAGAGGGAACCAGGTGAGCTCTCTAGTGAGAGTGGGTCGGATGATTTGATCGAGTCTGAATCGCTGGTGAAAGATAATGGAGCTGTGAAGCAGGTAGAGGATAGAGCTCAAAGCCCTGTAGAAAAGAAGAGAAAGTTCTCACCGATAGTATGGGACAGAGATGACTTTCAAACAAGTTCTTTGAGCAGAAACGAAAAGCCTCTGGAGGTCACGCCGCTTCCTCCCCCGCCACCGTTAATTAAGAGGTCAAGCCGGTCACCCAGTGTCAAATGTGATGGCAGTTCTCATTCTTCGCCTACAAAGATGCATCAAGATGCCGCGCAAGTTGGTGTTGCTGAGGTTTCTGTGCCTACTGTCTCATCTCCGGTAGAGATATACTCTGTGTGTGTGGTGGAACAATCATCAAATGCTGGGCAGGATGGCAAACAAGAGGATGCAACACACATGGAAGACGAGGAAAACATGCCAACAAGGCATATATCGTCTTCTAGGTGGGCTGCTGGAAACAATTCTCCAGCTGACGAAGGTGAAATAGTAGAGGAAGTTGAAATAAATAAAAGGAGGAAGAAACCACCTCCCAAGGAATACTTTCAGGGGAGATTGCGCAATAAGTCTCTAACGCCTGAGGTCGGAGAGTTTGTGAGGGAAGGTTATAGATCATCTGATTCCGGCGAAAGGGGGCACCATTCTTTGCCGAGAAGCAGAGATGGTTTTGATGAGAAAGATGATGTTAAGGGTGACAATATGGAAATAGATGAGGAGGAGCGCAGAAGAGAAATTTCTAGTGACAGCCTTGTTGAAACAGATTCTGATGACGAATATGTTCGGCATGAAACGCCTGAACCTGCTGGTACTCCACTGAGAAGTATAAACATGCTCCAAGGTTGTAGAAGTGTTGATGAGTTTGAGAGATTAAATAAGATAGATGAAGGTACTTACGGTGTTGTTTATAGGGCGAAGGATAAGAAGACAGGCGAAATTGTGGCATTGAAGAAGGTGAAGATGGAAAAAGAAAGAGAAGGTTTTCCATTGACAGCTCTTAGGGAAATAAACATACTGCTTTCTTTTCATCACCCATCAATAGTGGATGTTAAAGAGGTGGTTGTGGGTAGTAGCCTTGATAGCATTTTTATGGTGATGGAATATATGGAACATGATCTTAAAGCATTGATGGAGTCAATGAAGCAGCGTTTCAGTCAAAGTGAAGTTAAATGCTTAATGCTTCAACTTTTAGAGGGGGTCAAGTATCTTCATGACAACTGGGTGCTTCATCGAGATTTGAAAACTTCTAACCTGCTTTTAAACAATCGGGGTGAGCTGAAGATATGTGACTTTGGTTTGGCTCGGCAATATGGCAGTCCACTGAAGCCATATACCCATCTGGTTGTTACGCTTTGGTACAGGTAAAGTCCGTTTCTAACCTTTTCTACTCCGTTATAATTCTAGTGAACTTTCCGGTAATTTTTGGCCATTGTTAGTATAATCTCAGGTGCCTTGTCTTTTCTTGTATAGCTGTACAACACCGTTCTCCCTTTTTCTGTCCCTGCATATTGGACCAATGATTTTAAAAGTCCTGATTATAGATTAGGTTCTATGGTATCTGATTTTTGCTTTGTTTGGCACCTCTAACTTGAGTGTTGAGGCTAACTTTGATTCTTATCTTTCCACTTTGAGAATAGTCTTCATAATATGCCAGCTTAGCTATTGAATACTTTTGTGGTATTTGCGTGGACACCACACCTCTTAGAACGGCCATTATAAACTGGCAACATTAGAAAATATGTGTACTTCAACTTTCTTGACTTGTTTTGTTCATTGTGTTGACTCTCCCTTCTTCTTTTAGAAATAATCACTTCCTCCAAGACCAAGCTCCATGACTGCATCTGTTTTCTCAGGGCACCGGAACTTCTCTTGGGAGCGAAACAATATTCTACAGCCATTGACATGTGGTCACTGGGCTGTATCATGGCAGAACTATTATCAAAGGCGCCATTATTCAATGGTAAAACGGAGTTTGATCAACTTGACAAGGTATTTCAAGCATTGCTTTTGACTTGGATCTCCAGCCATCCGGGAAGTACACACAGCTTATAAATTACTGCTACTTTTAAATTACAGATTTTCAGAATCCTTGGGACTCCCAATGAATCAATTTGGCCTGGGTTCTCCAAGCTGCCTGGAGTCAAGGTCAACTTTGTCAAGCATCAGTAAGTGTTATAAATTCCTTGTAGTATCCAGTTGTCGTGCACCTTAGTTAAATATGTTTAAACTCTATTATTGCTCCCAGGCTTTCTAGTTTTAGGTGATGTGGTTTGGCATTCTGGCTCATAAGTGGTTTTTTTGTCTTTCATTTTATGTCATTATTCTCACCGCTGGCTTGTTCTTTCAGGTACAACCTATTGCGTAAGAAATTCCCAGCCACTTCATTTACTGGTTCACCAGTTCTATCCGATGCTGGGTTTGACTTGCTGAACAAACTCTTGACATACGATCCTGAGAGGGTAATAGAATGTATATGATAGAAATTGCATGTATGTTCATCAGTATTTCTTTGATTGTTCCTTGACTTTTGGATTTGTGGCTCTTTTTTTTATAGAGAATAACTGTTGATGATGCGCTTAAGCATGACTGGTTCCGTGAAGTCCCTCTGCCAAAATCCAAAGATTTCATGCCTACTTTCCCTGCTCAACATGCCCAAGACAGGTGCAGATCTACCTAAACTGAAACGAACGCTGGTTGACTTTAATCGCTGGTTGACTTTAATTCTGTCTCTAACCTTTTTCTTCTGTGGCAAGGCGTGGGAGGAGAATGGTAAAGAGCCCTGATCCTTTGGAAGAGCAACGTAGGAAGGAGTTAACACATTCCGAACTTGGATCTGGTGGCCTGTTTGGCTGAAGCATGGCTCGCCGATTGAAGATAGCAGTTGTTGTTCCAACCTTGATTTTCTGAGACACCATGGAGTTACCACATTTTAGGCGAGGGCTGCTGCTTAAGCGGAGGTTGGAACATTTGTATCTCAGACTATCATTTGTACTTTCTTTAATTTCGAGGGTCCATGGTGATTTGTGAAGATGATTTTCCTTCTATCGCCAGCTGGATTCCTTGCAGGTTTAATGTGTTCACAAGCTAGGCTGGTCAGTTAGTAATGCTGCAGCTTTCTGACAATGCTTGTTCTGCAAGGTGTGACATGACAATAAAAACTCATTTCCTACTGAAACTTATGTATGTAGCATAGTGTTTTTGAATAATGACTCTTTGTTTTACAATGAGGGAGAGATCCTATTCTTTTCACCTACAATCCTCTTAATCTACTCTTGTGTTTTTTATTTATTCTATATATATAAAATTCACATTGTGATTGCAAGAAAAACTGGTGATGAAGTGGAGGTGACACTCATGTCTTTAAAGAAGAAATGATGGTTGCCGATGTATCTCCGCAAGGTAATATATAGGTCCTGATATTTGTAGGGTTGTAACTTGTTTTTTGTATCCCGATAAAGTCGTGTGTTACTCCCAGATCAGATGGTTGGTCTGAAACTGTAGAAATATTGTACTAGTTTTTTGGTTTGTAGGGAAAATAATGTCATATTTATTCCTTTTTATACTTTGATTGCTTAGGAGCTTATGCCAGAAACTAAAGTAGATCCTAGGTCCTCTGGGCAGGGTAATGTCACTTAGTTAACCATCCTAAGGTCTCTGAAGTAATCCTTAGCCATGTTTTCTTTGAAGTTTACTGATTTAATAGTTATAGTTGAACTGTTGTTGTTGACTGCGAATTGCTAGAAATGATTTGTTAGGTTTTCAGTAACAAAGTGAAACTAAATTGACATTGTTTGTCTCAACCTTTAGAAACATATGCTGAGAAGTGTTAACAATCGACTTTGTGTAGAGCTTTCTTTAAATCAGCCAGCTCGTCTTGGATCCTTGTAAGTATCATCTTGCATTTTTGCATGAGACCACATTCAAATGGTTTTGACATATTTTACCATGATTCTAGTCGGGACAAGCAGTATTCAAGCTGTTACTCATTCCCAGAGACATGTCATGACACTAGAAATGGTGCTGCATGCAAGCAAGCGCAGGTCAAGTTCCGGGTCTGTTGCAGAGTGCACCGACTCATTGAAATGTATTCGAGTGAGTTTGCGTACCGAGGACCCAGGAGATGACATCCTTGATGTAGCCAAGCGTTTGCAGAAAGAACACAATCCCATAGTGGTCAGTCGCCAATTGCTCTTGTAGTATTGGTCCAGTGCGTTATGGTGCCGATCCATATTCGAAATACCAAAAGAAACAGTCCGTGTAACAAAGCTTCTATTAAAGCATTTAGTAGCAGGAGATCTAAACATAGAACTGGGATTATGGTCTAACTAATGACCTTACAATCGACTTCATATGTAGAAAATAAGACATTAGGTTTATACAGAGACCAAATGCCTCGTCAATAAAACTTATTATTATACACCCAAATTAACAGAAGCTCATGACAAGTTTCTTTTCCTATCAATTGCAAAATTCGCTATACACTGGCAAAAGGGTAAACACCTCTGTGTATGATATACACCAAACCTTTTTTTGTTGTCATTCAGAACTGAAAACTACAGTCTTCCCAAGTACAAAGGTAACGAGAGAGAGCTCAATGAAGAAAATTGTGTTTATCAGATGCCTGTCTACTGTCCACCCGAATATCGTTATCCCGCCTGGATTCATCTGCAAATACAACACTGCAACAATAATCTAATCAGACATCAGGTCTCACCGGGGGAAAAAAACAAAAATGGCGAAACAATCCTCTCACCGAAAGCTTGTCTTTTGTGATATGAGTTCATGGACATGTATGAAGGAAAGTGGTTGTTGCTGTTATTAGCAGGCATCCTCACGTAGTGATCCATCGACTCCACATCGCTTTCTGAACGGGAAATCTGAAAGGAGATTGGTGGAATCGTGGTGGCCTCCAAGTGAACCCCACTAGGAGAAGTCCTTATTTGAGTTGAATCTGTAGATGAGCAAGACATCATCGCATGCCATTTACTTGCCACTGATGCTATCGCTTGAGCTCTGTGAGATATTTTAGTTGCTGCGTGCAGACATAATATTATCCCAACAACTTGGACTACCGCCGAAACCTGTAAACATATCGTCCCAAGCTTCAACCTCACCAAACAAGAACATAACCAGTGAAGAAGAAGAAGAAGAAGAAGAAGAAGCAGAGGTTTGACTTTACCGCGAAATCACCACCGTTTATGTATGTGATACGCCCGCTGTACGCAGTGGTCTGGAAAAGCGTAGTAAACTGGCTTACTGTAACGACCAGGAACTGTAGAAGCAGAAAGATTCGGAACCTATGGCTTATTTTGGAGAGGTAATGGCGCAAACGTATGTGCTCGTAGATGAAAAGGGAGATTTCTGACTCCCCGTCTAAGAGCTTCGCATAGTCTTCAAAGTGAATGACTTGCAAATTGCAGACCAAATGAAACATGGCACTTGCAGCTAGAAATATAGTGCTTAAGTACGTCCATGACAAGATCATTGATAAGAGAATTAAAACAGATAGCCATGGCTGGTCATGAGGCACGTATATCATACGGATGATCTCCCGAATAGCTTTCAATGCAAAACATGGGAGCGACCAAACTGCAAGCAGTCTCACAGAGTTCTGCAATAAGAAAAATGCTTCCTTTAGCCCAAAGCAAGTGAATTTAGCTAACGTTTCAAGAAGATTCTCTCGATGTCAATTTCAGGACTAACATTTGAAACACACATTCAAGAATTCACATTTGAAAACCAATGATCCTTCACAAACAACTCAAGCATCATCATCATCACGGAATTCTCAGTGCCTATCTACAAAATCGGAAGAAGAGTAGAAGAATGAATCACCGAGATTTGCTGAATGTATTGACCTTTGAGCCGTCCCATTCGCCCACTGAGTTGATCGACGAACAAAAACTTTCGAATCCCGTGCTTTCTCAAATTGTGAGAAACGCAAAGCAGAGAGACACCAGCCAAACACGCCTGCGAGACCACGATGTTGAGCTCGAAGCTCTTGTACTGGTACTTCTCACACCCTTTACAATGCCCTAGCTCCAACACTGTCACCGGAAGCACCAAACCGATGGTCAAAAAGACGATCCAAGACAAGACAAGGCTTTGAGTAGACGACTGGTTAAACCCAAGGAGCGTCAGAAACATCTCGAGCCTTTCCAGCGTTTGATCCAGGTCGTCGTCATCGTTGACGCCCTCTCCTCCTCCTCCGCCGCCGTCTATCTGCGGCGGAGGTTGCTCTTGATCCTGATTCTGATTCTGATTTGAATCGAGCAACGGCGTTTGAGCAGCCGGTGATTGCTCACTCGCCATCAGAGCCTGAATTCGTTTATAGAAAGCCACAGCGACGGATTTGAACAGAGAGAAAAGGGAAACATCGAAGCTCGTTAATGGCGGTTTCGATCTCATTTAAAATCGACATCTACGACAGATCAAAGCCCGTGATCTCTCTCAGATCGACGGCTGTAAAATCATTCCTTCCGATTCATCTGAAAAATAGTATAATTTTCTGAAGAAATTGGGAACCGAATCAAAAAAAATTAAAATCCAAGAATCGAGGGATTGGCATTTAGCGGTGAGATTTAGAGGGGGAAGTTTATAAAATTAATTTTCTCATTATGTGTGTTTAAGCCGTTAGATTGAAGAGGTTTGGCGTAAGTTTCAACGGTTGATGATTGATGAAGAACATTTATGATAGAGTGAGACCAGTATCACTTATTATTCTTTTCTGGAGTTATTAGAACGTGGGAAAGCCTAATTAGTTTGATAATAAAATTTCGATACTTAATAATATTTGCTGACGGTGTCCTATTTTTTTGTAAGTTTACACGTTAGTTTGATTTGGCTTAACCAAAAAAACAATACAAAAGTACGTTTTTTTTTTTTCTTTTTCTTAAGGTACATAAGTATATGATTTGGAGAAAATTCAATTCTTTTATCTGCAACGTTTTCTTTGTTTGTTTATCTGTTATAAAACTCTTAGAACGAAATCATCAGTAAGTTCATGGGACTGCAGTTTCAGTCCTTCAGATGAATCAGATCGCATCTCTTATACTATTCTTCATAACATAATTAAAATATTTTCTTACGTCATACAAGAACAAAATATTTAACATCTTATAGAGTATTTTGTGTGTATCTATTCAATCATGCGTGGCAGTATACGAGGAACATGAAGCCCATATCTAAAATACAGCTACATGATCTGATAGGTGCAATGCTACTTGCTAGTAACATCATTTTTTTCTCCAAATAAACTTGATCAGCGTAATAAATCGATTTTAGCTCATTATGATATAAAATTACGGGTAAGGCAACATGTTCATTTTTTAATTGTTGGTAGTTGGATTTACAGTTGAACAGCAATTATATAACTTTCATGAAAGTTACTGCGATTACAAAGACACCACAAGATGACAAGAAACATGCATAGCATAGTGGTTGGTTTGTCTAAACTATTGTGGCGTATAATACTTGCAATTTGGTTTTCAGTGTCCCTAGTATAATTATTATCTATGATAATGATATTGCCAATCAAGAATTTTGTTTCTTTGACATGTAAGAATAAAAAATAGTCACAATCATCCACAAAAAAAAGCCACAATCATTATCCCCTTTTATTAACAAATTTAGCTTTCGTTAGTGCCAGTCCTAAAACTTCATAAGTACAAAATTTGGTATATGGATACTGTGAAACGTGATTTCTCTACTTTAATCTTAAAGAGCTATTTCGCGTTAAACAAACCTGTAAAAGTGTTAATGTTTCTTGGTAATGATGTTCAAAGGAAAATGGTGATCCTATACGAATGTTTCTAATGATAATTCTCAAGATTAACCCTACCTATAGTTTCATAGTACGAAAAAAAGATTAGGAGTGAGTATGAGACTATTGAACCTTCTTGCATTATTATACATTGGAAAAAGAAGTAATAATCCTCATATTACAGACTCTACCACCCAAAAATAAAACCTCATTACAACATAATTATTGATATAAATCTGTTTGTGTATACACTTAACTAAATAGAAATGCTATTGGGAATACCACGGCCAGTGACTCCATGTGATGAAGTAGGAAGAAGTAATTCGTAAGGAGGCATTCCAGCACCTGTTCTGTTCTTGAGTTTCTTATCTTTGTTTCTCTTGTTGATCTTCTTCTCTATCTCCTCAAGCTCCTCCGAGAACTTGTTAAAATACTTAACCACTTCCTCATCTTGAAACCAACGTCTCTGAACTTCTCTCAGGTCGATCAAGTACTCTTCGTCAGCGGAATGCGTCGAGAGCGTCTCTTGTACCGCCATCACTTTTGTTGCTTGGAGTTGTGTTGGTAGAGAGCTTAGGAAGCTGTACTGAGGGTTTCGCATGAACATCTCGTAGTCATGGTCGTTTTCGTGCGGTATAAGTTTCCTCAATAAAGTAGGTCGGTTCGGGACATAACCTCCGAACGGGTACTGACCGAAGTTAATAGCTGCGTGTTGACCCGAAGCGATCCATATCATGTTGGTTAAGATCTCGGACAAGTCTTGTGTTGTGTTGAGTTTAGGCCACCAAGGCTCGTCTTTCTTGTCGTAGTGACCTTTGTTCTTGATCTCATCCCACCAAGCTTGGAGCTCAAGGTCAGTGGTTATAGAATTAGGCTCAGAGTAGAAGTGTTTGACATATGATTCAACTAGGTCCTTGATAGCTTTCCAGATTAAAAGACCATCTGCTGCATATGGATAATCTTCAATCACTAGTTTCACTCCACATTCCGCTGAAGAATCTTCCTCTGCCATTCCTCTGTAAATGATTCCATACCCCATTAGAGAGAGACTTAAGACCGAAAAGAAGAGTGATTGTTTGTTTGTTACTAACCTTCGAACAAGATCAGCAGGAAGACCTTCCATGTCAAACCGCCACATACTCTTGTACGCTGCTGAGCTTAGATCCATTGAGTATTTCCCTGGAGTGAAGCAACTCTCGATGATTCCACCTCCGTTGATTAAGCTTTTACGCGCACGCGCATTGATTTCAAGAGTGTAGCGCATATGAGGGTGAAGCAGCTTGTAAACCGGATGCATTGTACTCAACTGTCTGTTAGTAGCAATGATGTAAGGCTCCATGCAAGCGTGAGTCCTTAGCCTGAGAGTTTCAAGAAAACATTAATACATCTACAAATGAAGCTGGACAAGGTTTTAAGGAACTTAATTACCAGTGGTTCACTAGTTGGTGAACACCAGCATCATTTGAGCAGACATGAGCTTTGGCTAGTTTCCAAATCCAGTGAGTAGTAGCGTCATGACCATGGGTATAAACAAACTTGTTCTCGTTCTCTGAAGTGGGAGGCAACGATAGCTCTATGGCCAACGGCCTAAGTGTGCCCGCTTTTGAATAGAAGAAGATTGTTCTTGAAGCATATGTCTTTCTTGGATCCTCTTTGATGGAGTTTATCTTGTCTACAAATGGTAATAGCATGTCATGGTAATCCAAGAGAAACATCCTCTTCTCCTCAAACGCCTGCATTACACCAATTTAAACGTTTTAGCCGCTATCAACAAGATGAGAAGATTCTTTAGTACACTTGTTGTCACACTAGAAAACCTGTTCCAAAGTCATTCCATAGTGTTGAACTTCTCGAGCAATCACTTCCTCTGTGAGCGCAGATTCTTGAGGTCCATATATAGCCGGGTCAAGCTTGCTTCGAATTGGCAGCTCCTATCAAAACATACAAGAACTTTTCAGAATCTCTCACAAAGGAAAGATTCTTGATTTAGGAATTGTAAGATGAAACACACCTTTAAAAGCTCGATGTTTACGGGGTTGACACCAGCAAGAGCTTGGCGTCCAAATTCATTATCTCTTAGCCACGCAAATCTGTCCCCTGAGCAAACCAAACCAGAGAAGATACATAATTTGTATATATTTCAAGAAATGAGATAATTTCAAGAATGACAAAATTTTACATTTTATAACTGCTGGAGTGTCGTATTTAAGCAGTGTTTCACCGACGTTGAGAATCCCATCCATGAAACCGCCTACAAACCCGCCAAGACCCGTGTCTTTTGGCTCGGTAGGTCCCAAGACAATGTCACATTTGTATAATCTGTCTATATCCGAGAAGCAAGTGAAGGGTATGTCTAAGTTTGACAATGCAGCTGCAATCGATGGGACGAGATTGTGAAAGAGAGCCTTAAATCTCCCAGCTGTAAAAGTATCTCTCTTGATTTCCTCGAAAACTTCATCTCTCGGAACATAAAACTCTTCCTTCTCTTTTCCTCTGCTCTCACACGGTGGATCTGAATGATATGAGATCACCAAAGTCAAGAACCAAAACATTGTTTGCATACTACTATGCAAGAAGAGAGTGAATAAAGAGATCAATCAAATCACCTCTTGAAACGAGAGGACGACCAGACCTGCATCGTCTTGGATACGGCCTCTGTGGAACACCAAGAACAGGCCTGACTCGTTCTTTTTTACGAGGATCACCTAAATCGTTGTAAACATCGTAATCATAAACCCTCTCGTGAGGCTTTCTCTCGCCTTTACCGTTACCTTGGACAGTCCTCAAGTCCTTCTCGCGTAGCTCTTTGATCCCAGCAGGAGTTTGGGAAGGTAAGCATGGCTATGAAAAGGCAGAAAAAGACATTCAAGAAAAAGAAAGAAAACACAAAATGAAAGATAAAGAAGAAAGAAGAAGAAGATACTCACTTGGCTTCTGAAGATGATCCTGCCTTCAGGATTATCAGTCCTGGAGTGGATCCAAGTGTTTCCAGGGAAGAGAATGGTGTCATTGTCATCATGGATGATAATCTCCGACAAGCAAATCTCTGTGGAAAGGAGATTGGTGACAAGAATGGCTCCAGGTTTACCAAAGTCAGTAGGAACATTGAAGTTGGCTTTGAACTCAAGGTATCTTGGATTGTTCCGGACCGTTGGGAGTCCGAGCACTGGAGCTTCTAAACTCCTCTTGCCTGAACCACTTTCTGTAATATATAATAAACATTGCGTCACCATTCCAAATTCAGATCAGCATCATATTGATATAGTTAAAAATGACAAAAAAGGAAAGGCATGAAAGTCAAGACTCTTTTTTCTCCATTGTTTTAAGACTCTTTTAACTTATTATAGTCGTCAGTCTCAACCTCAACACATTTTTTTAACTTATTAAACTCTGGTATTATAAAGTAAAACTATAGGATAATTACAGTGAATACTACAAGAAAAGAAACCGGAGTGATAATTTTGACGATCTTTCACAAAAATACACAGCAATCTAAGAAAAAATAATAGTACAAGAAAAAAGGTGGAAGGCAAGTTATGCAGAATCTCAGATCTAAGCCAGGAAGATGAAAGATTCGGTTTTGCAATCTTGTTCCGGCAGAACAATCATCATGACAGCGAAGGAGGGAGATAAATAACTAGTGATTGGCCAAATGGGTCCTTAATTAATAGCCACTAATCAAAATCTAATGACCATTGAAACATCATTAATTATGCACGAGTAAATAGCTGTCATCTAAACTTTAGCACAAAAGAGATTAATTCTAATAATAATATAGTCCGCCGAAAAGAAAAAGAAAATGCTAGAGTCTAAGATAAATCCAAAGAAGGAAGAAAAATCGAATCCAAAAAAAAAATGTAAAAGATCCGAAGAAACGAACAAATTCGTAACTGAAACTCAATCCAAGTGTTTTGCTTTGTTCTTTAGCCCAAAAAGGTGATAAACTGATTTTATATCAAAAAGCAAAAAAAAAAAAAAAAAAAAAAAAAAGGCAAATCGAATATAAAGACAAATTGGTAAAAATGGTAGAAAGAAACAAACCAGGATCGATTTCTTCACTGACGAGCTGAATCAACATCCCTTGACCGATCGCTTTCATTAGAAGCTCTAACTGATGCTCAAACCTTTCCGTTAGCTTCTCTCTCATCTTCTTTCTGATCTTCACAACCGCCACAACTGTTTTTGATCCCGTATACTTAGATCTCTTCCATGGAAACGCAGGAGAATTGCTTACGAGTGATCCGTTTGTACTTTTTTCATCTTCTTGATCCACCGCCTTTTCTTCCCGGGAAATCACAGCTCGAACTTGTCTCGAAAGTGGAACTCGGTGTTGTTGTTGCCGCCGCCGTGGAAGAGCGGGAAACGCCGGAGATCTTGTTAGGCCGGCGCCGTAGAAGTTCGTTTTCACCGGAGACGCTATAAACATTTTTATTTTATTTATTGTACTTTTTTTCTCTTTGTTTGGATTTTTGCAGTGTGAAGAGAAGATAAAGAGAGACGATAAATAACGCCAATTTGCTCGTGGACCTCGTGCTAGAGTGCTGAGACGAATTAAACGGCTGCGTTTCGATAAATTTATTTTCAGACAGGAGAATTTGTTTGACCGAGAGAGAGTGTCGTCATTACATATTTCACCGTCAGAGGCTCATACGGATACGGATATGTGCTTCGCAGGCACGCGCGTGAACGGCAAACTCCAAAATTAGTAGGCCACGTGTACTTTAGTACTCGGTGGGCGGGGACCGCGGAATTTTTTTTTGAGCAATTAAGCAGCATGGAAGTTTGTGAGATCTTCTTTAATTACTTGAAACGCGACGAAACTTTTTCTGTCAACGCAATAAAAAACAAATATGGTATCTTGATATATTATAGTTTTTATGGTTTTTAACCATGATATAAATCTTTTTTATTAAGTTTTTTTGTCTTTTTAAAGTTTTGGTAGAGTCTTTGCAGGTTATAGTATATCTGGAACATAATTGGAGATTTAGAATCTTTTAGAGCATTTTGGGTTGAAGCCACGAAGTACCAAGCTCGAAGTAGAAAGTATCACATATGGTGACGCTCGTCACCACCTTTGGTGACGCTCGTCACCCATCAAGGAAGGAGCGTGGCTGTTTTATTAAAAGTATGAAGAAGATTTACAGAATTGGCTCAGAAGTTCCTTTATTTACATAAAGACCCCAGATCGTGTTTAGCCTCTATTTATTAGGTTTTTCAGCCATTGTTGGCTATTATCTTAGTTTTTGAGAATTCAGAGAGCTTAGAGAGAGATTTATTCAGAGCTTTTTGGGAAGACAAATCCTGTACTCTTTTGAGAAGATTTCGAACCCCTTTTATTTCTTACTCTTTCTCTTAATGCAATTTTATTCAGTTATGTTTTGTGATCTCATAATCATGTTTGAGTAATCTGCTAGTTAAGTTAGGGTTTTTCAAAGGTTGATGAAAAGATTGTAGAATCGCTATCTGTTAGGAATATCTTATGGTTTTTCATCTCTGCTTGCTTTAAAATCGAATTTCTGAGACACATCATCTAGGAATCCGAAAATCTTAGGTTGTTAAATATATGTGAGAGCATTATTCATAACCTGAACTAGTATTTGATGAGCAAAGCAACTTAGTGCAAAGAGATTTGGCTTAGGAGTTTTGTGAACAATTAAACCTGATCATTCCTGCATGCTTAGGTTGTTAGAGTTTGCAAAGAGATTTGAAACTCTGTGATTTAGGCATAGATAACTTTTGCAATGAGAATTGATTAGTTATACATCAGTGATTCATGTTTAAAACGGTTCTTAATCATTCTTGATTTCCTGCGTCATACATTCTTGGATTCAACCTGCGAACTGCCCTGACTTAGCGCTTTTAGTTTTCTGGAACTTAGATCATCTTACAAAATCGTTTGCTTACTTTTGTTTATTCATTCGCATTACATACATCATATCTTGCTTAGCTTAATCCGAATCTACATTCGATAGTGTAGTCTGCATTACTCTCTTGGGATTTCGATACCCCTTGTACTACAACTGCTTTTGCTGTGCACTTGCAGTAGTTTTATTTGGGTAAAACCTGACCCTATCAAGTTTTTGGCGCCGTTACCGGGGAGTAATAGCTGCCTATCGATTTTTAGTATTAGGATTTTGTCTAAGTTTTTATTTGTTTACTGACTTTTAGTTTCTTTTCTCTGTGCCTGTTTCAGGTGTATACCTAATCGCAGAACCAGAAGCAACAAAGAGAAGGAGCTTGTGACTTTGAGCATCGACGAGCTTGCTAGGTTGGAGAGAACTAACAGGAAAGCTAAGAAGCAATCTACAATGGTGGCTCCACTTATCTTGGTTGAAGATGCAGAAGGTCACTTAGTTGACAGGGAAGGAAATAGGAGGAACGAAGAGGGGCAGAGAATTGATCAAGAGGGGAATGTCATTGTTGAACAGCAGGTTCAGCAAGTGGCTGAGAACGTGGGAGTCCCTGTTGCTGTCAATAACGCTGCTGGGCGTTTTGTTCAGAGGACTCTAGGTGACTACAACAGACCTGATCAGTTCTATGCCAACAGAGCTGCAATCCGACCTCCTGCCTTCCAGAGGAACGATTTTGAGGTTAAACCTGTCTACTATCAGCTGGTTGGCCAGCATCCATTCCATGGTTTACCTCATGAGCATCCTATGGATCACATAGAGAGATTTGAGGACTTGGCTTCCAGTTTCAAAGCTAACGGGGTTAGCAATGACTTTCCGTTCTGCAAGCTTTTTCCTTACTCTCTTGAAGGAGAAGCTGCATATTGGCTGAAGCAACTGGAACCTGCTTCATTGACTACTTGGGAAGACACCAAGAACGCCTTTTTGAACAACTTCTATGATGATGCAAGATCAGAGGACATGAGGACGAAAATTGCATCATTTACACAAGGCCCTACTGAAGCTTTCAAGGCCTCTTGGATCAGGTTCAAGTCTTATCAAAGGGACTGTCCTCATCATGGTTTCAGTCGTGTGCAATTACTTGGGATTTTCTTCAGAGGCATTGACTGGAAATATCAGATGGCGCTGGATGCAGCAAGTGCAGAAAACTTCAACACCAACAGACCAGAAGAGGCGATCAGACTGATTGAGAACTTGGTCTGCAGCAACAGCACTAAAAATGCAGACTTTCAGAGGATGAAACAAGCTGGTGTAGCTGATGGAAATCAGATTGCTGAAGTTAAGGCTAAGTTGGATGATATGCACAGCCTTTTGGTGGGGAAGAAGTCGGTTCACTTTGCTGCAGAAGTGGAAACTTTCGAAGCTCCAGAGGAAGTTGAGCAGGAGGATGTAAATTTCATCAATTCTGGTGGTTTTCAGGGACAAAGGTATGGGAATCAACAGTGGAACAGAGGATACAACAACAATAATCAGAAAAACGCCCTTACAGGAGGACAGAGCACGCCTGGTTTCACTCCTAGACCCCCATTCCAGAAGACAGAGTATCAGAAGCCATTCCAGAACAGTGGAAATTACATAAACTATGGTTCTTCTTCCTATTAACCAGCACCTCCACAAGGGAATAAAATGGAAGCAATGTTAGAACAGATCTTGGAAGGACAACATAAGCTTACAGTGGAATTTAATGGCAAGATAGATTCACTCTATCAAGATTTGAATGGAAAAATTGAGAGTCTGAACTCTCATATGAAGAAGCTTGATGTTCAAGTTGCCCAAACTGCAGGAGCTGTTCAGAGGCAAGAAGGATTTCTTCCAAGAAGAACTGATGCTAATCCCAAACACCATGTGAATGCCATCACATTGAGGAGTGGAAAGAACCTGCAACCAGTGTTGCAGAAGGATTTAACCTCAAGGAATTTCGTGGGTATGGAAGAGTATGAAGATGAAGAAATATTTGCTGAAGAACCACGGGTGACGCTCGTCACCAATAATGGGTGTCGCTCGTCACCCATCGAGCACAACCCCGACCCCGACTCTTTACAAATTGGTGACGACCGTCACCAGGTGGGTGACGCTTGTCACCCATATCCAGTGATCAATCCCGACTCGTCCAAAGTGAGTGACGCTCGCCACCATTCCAGTGACGCTCGTCACCAGACACCACATGCTGCAGTTTCGCCTAAGACTTCAGATAATGCTAAGGAGACCGTGTATAAACCCAAGATACCCTATCCTAAGCATCCTAAGAAGTCTAAGCAAGAGCTTGAAGATGAAAGATGCAAGGCTATCATGGACAAGTTGGTAATAGAGATCCCATTGATAGATGCTGTAAGGATCACTCCTGTTATAAGGAGGTATGTGAAGAGGATGGTGACCAATAACTTGAGTCTTGAGGTTGGAGCTATGATGATCAACGAGCAGGTCAGTGCAGTGATTCAGAACAGAGTTCCAGAGAAGCTTTCAGACCCAGGAAGCTTTGTTTTAGACTGCACTATCTTCAATGACAAGTTTGAGAGGTCATTGTGTGATCTTGGTTCTAGTGTGAACCTCATGCCTCATTCTGTTTCCAAGAGTTTGGGGATGAACGATTTTAAGGCTACAAGGATATTTCTTGTCCTAGCTGATAGATCAGTCAGAGTTCCTGAAGGAGTGATAGAGGATGTTCCTATCAAAATAGGAGATTGTATGATCCCTACTGATTTTGTGGTTCTAGAGTATGGAGAAGAGCCCAAAGACCCCTTGATTCTTGGCAGACCCTTCTTAGCTACTGCAAGAGCTATTATTGACGTCAGGAAAGGTAGAATAGAGCTGAATGTTGGCGATTTAGTGATGAAATTCGAAATGGACAAGCTGATGAAGAGGCCAACCATAGATGGAAAGAATTTTTATGTGGATGTTCTCACAAACATTGCTGATCAGATCTTCCATGAGATGAGTTCAGAGGATCCCTTGGAAAGGGCGTTGACCACTTCTACAGCTGAGTATGAGCATTTAGATGCTGCTGCAACAGGCTACACAAAGATGATGGATGCTACTGCACAAGTGATGCAACTGGTTGCACAGGATGAGTTTGTCTCCACATCTGCGAAAGCTGCCACAATGGATGATTGATCTGCAGCAAAAGCACCAAAAGTTGAGCTTAAACAGCTCCCTGCAGGGCTAAGGTACGCATTTCTGGGAGAAAACTCCACTTATCCTGTTATTGTTAATGCTTCATTGAACAATGCAGAGCTCACCCTTTTGCTAAGTAAGCTGCGAAAATTTCGCAAAGCTCTTGGCTATTCTCTTGATGACATTTCAGGTATCTCCCCAGACTTGTGCATGCATAGGATACACTTGGAGGATGAGTCGAAATCATCAGTTGAGCACCAGCGGAGGCTGAATCCGAATTTGCAGGATGTGGTCAAGAAAGAGATCATGAAGTTGTTGCAGGCTGGTATCATCTATGCTATATCAGACAGTGCTTGGGTGAGTCCAGTGCACGTGGTGCCTAAGAAAGGAGGTGTCACAGTGGTAAAGAATGACAAGGATGAGCTGATTCCAACCAGGACTGTGACAGGACACAGGATGTGCATAGACTACAGGAAACTGAATGCAGCAACAAGGAAGGATCATTTTTCTCTGCCTTTCATCGATCAGATGCTAGAGAGGCTGGCGAATCACAAGTATTACTGCTTCCTTGATGGGTATTCAGGCTTCTTTCAGATCCCCCATCCATCCAGATGATCAGGAGAAGACCACTTTTACTTGTCCCTATGGCACTTTTGCATATCGCATAATGCCTTTTGGGCTGTGTAATGCTCCTGCAACCTTCCAGAGATGCATGGTGTCGATTTTCATAGACATGATAGAGAAGTTTATGGAGGTGTTCATGGATGACTTCTCTATTTATGGGTCCTCTTTCAAGAACTGCTTGGATAATCTGTGTGCAGTTCTGCAGAGATGTGAAGAGAAGCACTTGGTTTTAAACTGGGAGAAGTGTCATTTTATGGTGCAGGATGGTATTGTACTTGGCCACAGAGTCTCAGGAGACGGTATAGAGGTGGATAGGGCGAAAATTGAGGTGATGACAAGTCTGCAAGCACCTGATTCAGTCAAAGCAGTGAGGAGTTTTCTGGGTCATGCAGGCTTCTACAGAAGATTCATCAAGGATTTTAGCATGATAGCACGCCCACTTACTGCTCTCCTCTGCAAGGATGTG